GGCACCTGCGACCCAGCTGGCCCTCCATCCAGAAAGATCGCACCTGCACTGCGCTAACACATCCCCTTTAAAATCTCGGGCGCACGCACGAGGGAAATAATTAAACAATAGATCGTTTCTGTAGAGGAAATATCGGCTGATAGTTGCCTCTTAGAAATTTGATGTTCTTAAAGCAGCATATTTGCCCTCGAAGGTTTGTTTGAAGAACATTAAATTTCCGCGGGGTAACTATCAGCCGATAGTTCCTCGACAGAAACACTCTATTGTTTAAAAGGGCTCCATAAAGCTTTTGAAGTCTGCGCCATATGCTTGGTGTGTCTGTCTTTTTCCCAATTAATGATTGTAGTCGATCTTGAGGTATTTCTTTTTCTTTTTTTCTTTAACAAAAACATTATTCCACTCCTACGTGTTTGATATGTGGTAAGCTCCTCTTTGGCTATCTAGGTATGCCTTCCAGGGCGGAGTAGCAATGCTCCTTGTTGCTTTGCGCTACAGAAACCGGGGTAAGCTATAGCCAGATGTCCACTTTACCTTTTTGGACAAAACATCGCCCGGTTTAAAATCGGACGACTGAACAATTGATTGATGCTCATCAGTATTGGATGACATGACCATCTTATACAGGTAATTTGTATCATTATGAATAGTTACAAACGGTCCGTTGCCAAACCCTTCTTCAGAACAGAGCTAGTTTGATCTTGAGGGTGGTAACATGAGACAGCGAAGATGGGCTTCTTTCTCGGATCAACAGACGTTTATTCTTCAAATCTCAATTTTACAGCTGTAGGCAACTGGCAACTAGCTGTCTCTTTAACGAAAAATCTGACGTTTAAGTTCGTTGACATCGCGTCCGCGCTCTGAGCTGTGATTGGCCAACGCGTATATTCTTTTAAAATTTGTAAAAAGTGCTTACAAAACCCGGTACCTTTGATATCCCAAACCGTGCTTAGGAAATCAGCATCTACTATTCGCCAAATAGAAGTTCAACTTCACAAATTTCACAACTGAACGTTTTGGGGCCAATCACTGCAGCAGTGGCTGGACGGAATGCTTAGAAAGCAAGACGAATGTGATCCTATTTTCTTCAAGCAACAACAAAAGAAACAAAATTGTAATATGAGACCTAGTTAAATATTTTTGATGACATATGTAAACGTCAATAAAACTGTTCCATTGCTCGCTTGTAACGGAAGAGCTAGTTTCCACAGTTCTTGCAAGTACGCGGCCAATGGACATACTTATTGTAAGAACCTACACTGTACAAGCAATCACATGGATCATCACACTTAATGTTTCTTTTAACTAATTAACTGTCAGAGCCCGCGCCTTGCCACTCTTACATTTATGATGAGTTTACAAATACTTATTAAAAACATAGGTTCCCGAGGTCTTATCAGACACTATGTCAACAGGTCCAACAGGAAGTAGTTGCGTTGGCGACCAACTTATCGTTATAAAGAAGAATATTTCGTGGTGGATACTATCAAAATCTAACGTTAGGAAGTTTGGTAAAAGCTAATTAAATAAATGACTGAATAATGGTGGCAAGATGACTCTGTTTGTCATTTTAAGAACGTTATTCATTATATAAACATCAATTAAACTGAATGCCGGGTGAACCTCTCTGCAATTAAAAACCACGATATCTCCACACGCGAAAAGATCACAGCTGCTACGGTTACATATAATAAATCATGCCTTTTACAGCGAGAGTGAAATGGTTTGGTATTTAATTGGTGTTGATATACTAAACAGCACATCACAATGCCACTAGGAGAAAGGAAATTTTTCTTCTTGTGTTGAAAAATATTTTCCGAGTGAGCGCAGCGAACGAGTGAAATATTTTTCAACACGAGAAGAGAAATTACTTATCTCCTCCTGGCCATGTAATATCCTCTATATCACACGCACACATCCCTT